ATTGAATAGAATATGCGGTTTAACGAATAAAATTAATCCAAACTTTCAAGACTCAGTGTGAAGGTCATTTTGCAGTACATACAAATATCTAATCATTATTTTGTACACTCGAAACTTATAGAATGTTAGATGTCCATTATACCTCAATAAAAAAAAAAAAACTTGCAATTTTCTAGTTACCATGTTGTGCTTAATGCATTATAAATTATTTAGTAAAATGAAAGATTTTTATTTAAATAACATTATATTTACTTTTGAAAAAATAAGGATCGGGAAAGAGATTAACTATTAAAATAAATACAGTAAACTATTTTAAGTAGAAAGGTCTACCCACAGCGGAAAAAAATCAGCGAAGGCAACTGTGAGTGTTTTCTGGGACTCTCGGCATGACAGTCATGGGTGCAGCTCGCGGTCCCTTTAATTCTCCACATTATATCATGATGGACTTCGGTTTGCAAATCTTTTGTGCTCTTACTATAATCAGTTATGTGAGTCAAATCAGCAATGTCTAAAAGCATCTGTTGTTTAATTCTTAGCTATGTATAGAGACACCAAATATTGTACATGTGTACAAATTTTTTTCCTTTAGGAGTATACTATTATTTATAAACTCAAGCAAATGTTTATAATTGTGGCTATGCAAAAAATACACAATGACATCTCTAATAAAAGCCTCTTTTTGAGAAGTAAGCTACGATGGTTGCATTACGTTGCGTATATATGTATCTATTATACGGAATACATGAGAATTTAAAATATGAAGTAAAACAGACCCCGAGTAATCAATTTTTAAATATATGTCATCAAGAGATGCATGGAATTCGAAGAACACTGCTGATCCCTGAAAGTCTAGTTAAGATGCTGCCTCTTCCATGGGCATCCCGATTCACCCCCTGGAACTGACTTTTCCTCCCCCAAATTTTATTTTCATCTCGACTCTTCACGGGTTAAATATCGCAGGACTCATTTTGGATAATTTGGTTTTCAGCTACATTATAAACTCCTTGAGGGAAAAGGATGCAACTTAACAACGTTTGTAAACGCCATCCATACGCATACGCATCGCTTACCATGTTCTAATCACTTCGTAAATGTTTGTGGGATGGATCCATACCTTTTTTTCCCCTAGACAGCTCTGAAGTCACAGGAGCAATATTCTTTATAGCTTTTATTTATTCTGCTTTTCTCCTCAAAAGGAACATCCTAGAGATCACAAAATCCAGCGGAGGACTCTGAATAGAGTTCATAAAAGATGCACGACTTCTCTCTGGGTCAACCTGGAGAGGAGAAGCTCTCTCTGGCCCCATGCAGTTCTCAGCCATCACTGTATGTGGCTTGTGACAAGGGTGCATTCCCTCGTCCAAAAAAGAAATTCTATCACTGTGAAAAACTTCGAAGATAGCAATGACCAATCAGCCAGAGGTGATGAAGAGTTTGGGGTAGAACAAAATGATGAACCGGGGCCTGGTTCCCACCTGGATCGAGGCCTGGTCCACTGAGCGGCCGAGGGCCATGTCAGGCACAAAAGAAAGACTGCCGGCTTGGGGGTTGGAGGCCTCGATGCCAGTTCTTACCAGCTGTGAGGTGATTCTTGATAGAAGGGACATCACTTAATATCCCTGGGCCTCGAGGCGCTATAAGTTCCCTTACTTGATGCATCGAAGAAGTTAATCTCAGTGGGCTCTGATGTTCCTATGAGCCCTTAAATTCTATGAGTAGGAATCAAATATAGCTAAAGCCTCTTGGAAACTATTCAAACTGTTGTACAGGTGGGTGAATAAATGGGCACAGAGACAACAATTCAACTTCCCAAGGTCGCAGAGATGGCGAGTAATGAGACCCCAGAGCAAGTGCCCTAACTGCTATGCAGTACGGTCTTCTGCCGGATGTGAGCATAGGACGAGTCTTTAAGGACTTCATAAACCAAGGTTTCTGGGAGTTGGCGCGCTGACACATGACTTTGGCTTCAATCGGTGCATCGTGGGTAATAAGCTTTAAAAGCAGCACATAACAACCATAATTCAAATATTAACATTGAATAACAGAAGAGTCATTACCAAGGCCCCATGCTGTGGTCTTCAACCTTCAGCCCCGCTGGGTTGGTGGAGTGTCGTAAATGGAGAAATGCTAGAATACCAATGCCATCTTTGTACATTAAGCCTGCTCAAGAAGATACGATGATCACGCTTCCCTGGAACATAGCCTCAGACACTGTGATAAAATTGGATCCCATGTAAGGAAGAGACACGTGGGGGTGACATACAGGACAGGTCCCGTGCACGGGCTCTGTGCTCAGACAGACGTGGCTACAGGCGGCTACTCTTGCCCGCTGTATCTTCTTAGGCAAGCCTACCGTCTTCTGGGGGTCCCATTCCCCTTATATTTCAAGGAGGAATAATAATCATATCAACCTTGTATGTTTTTTCATGAGAATTTAAAGAGTTCATGTTAGCTACTGTTATTATGGTGAATAAACACACCAACAGGAGCAAAAGGTATTCACATACCCAGAGGAGTAAGAGGTCTGACACCTGACAGGATCGTTATTTTTCAAAGAACTCACTTGACCTATGAATTCCAAAGGAGGCCACAAGGCTCCCTTCCCAAAGCGCTGGCTCAGGACTGCGTTTAGATGCTAACAGTTAACAGTAGCAGCATTTTCAAGCAAAAAAAAAAAAAAAGGGGGCAATGACATAACTTTGACTTGTTTCTGTACGTTTATATAAATAACTCGACTAATGAGTGTCTTACAAGAAGAAAGAATGCAGATGACTGCCCTGGTATGTAACGATACGCATATAGACTCAGCCCCTTTGTCAGCTCACAATAGCCCCTGATGATCTGAGCATTTCCTCCCTCTGTTTGGATGACTTGAAAGCACATCCCAGCAAGTAAACTCACTACATTAAAGCGATGTTCCTTCCCAATTTACACCAGATTTCATCCCATCATATCAACAGCCCATACCGCCAGAAAGAGGACTTTCTTACACATGATTTCCATGGTGTTGATGTGTTTCTGCCCTAAACAGACAGATGCAGATGAAGCAATGCATGTTGATGCCATTACGAGACTGTGACATGGGCAGAAGTTTCCTTACACACTCATGCAATCACACACATTGTGAACATCCTGTTTATTTGGCTCGTCCTCTGGCGATTGGCTGTGGCGTATCAGCACATTACTGACAGCTGGGAATTTCTCCAGTGGAACATGCTTTTCCTATGACACACATCCAAGGAGCAGCAGGAGCACATGCTGACCGTGGTGTCCATACAAAGCAGCCCAGTTTCTCCAAATGCAGAGCATGTTGGGCGCTTGGGTTTTGTTGGGACACCACCGAGGGACCCCGCTGACCTTCAGAGGCCATACGAGATAACACGTTCCTGGACCCCTATTTCTGGACTGCTTTGGGCAAGGTCAGCATGGCAAACACCCCACTTCCACAAGATCAGATGTTACGGTAATTCCTTTTAGCTAATGTGTAAGGGTAAAGGAATGCCTTCAAACCTCATCTAGGCCCTGTGGAATCTGTTGAAAATGCATGACAGCTGTGGGCTTTGGCGAGGCTGTCTGTGAATGTATGAGATTTGGAAATGATTCAAAGCTAGAAATAACTGTACAGCTCAAAACCCTGTACCCCTGTGCGCTCTCTCTCTCGCTTCATCTCTCTCTCTCTCTCTCTCTCTCTCTCTCTCTCTCTCTCTCCTCTCTCTCTCTCTCTCTCTCTCTCTCTCTCTCCCTTCCCATCACTCATTTCACGCGCACTGTACCTGGGTCACAGTCTCATGCTCATGACTTTCATGCATTCTTCATGGCCGAGGGCTGTGGGTAACGCCCTCCACACACAAACACAGATGTGGAGAGAAGAAAGAAGCAGGGGCGGGGGTCAGAGCAACAGAAGGATTTTAATAAGGCACAAGAACAGGAAATTGAGAAAGAGCCTTTTTTTAAGTATCCAATTGGGAGTTGAGAAGCAGCAGCAAACACACACTCGTTTAAAAGCCCATCTGCAGTTAGAATCATCGCCGAGTTTTCTGATGATTTATAGAGGCGCTCATTTCTTCAGGCTGCATTATTTTTTAAGCC